AGAGAGAGAGAGAGAGAGAGAGAGAGAGAGAGAGAGAGAGAGAGAGAAAGTAACCCAAAGCATGTAAACTTAAGTATAAACAGTAACAAACCCCTACCAAAATAGAGAAAAAAATATCATGAGTCCCAATTACCCAGGATATTACAAATGTAGACATCGGTCTTTCTCAGAATGTCCCAAGATCAAAACCTCACTTAGAGCTGCTGCTATCAGTGATATCCCACAAAGAACCCTCACTCATACCTGTAGTTTTTCTTTTGTGAGAAGGACGTGGGTAACCTCCATTTGTTCTTCAGCTAAAAGAGTCATTAATACAATGATATCATAAAGAGAAATCACAAAGGTGGGGGTTGGGGGAGGCCATTCATTCCATCTGTCAGATATAATTTATCTTGCCTTGCCAATGGATGTTATGGAGCAAATACCAAGTGTAGAAGCTAAAACCTACTCTCATTATTGTAACTGGTCCTTCCATCGGCTCAATGGTGCTATTTTACAAAACAAGTAAAAGGAAGCTGCTCAGTTGGGCTGCAGTGTTTCCCCCACATCTGAAGAAAACCCATGTGGAAATTAGCTATAACATTCAAAGAAAGAAGAAAATATTAACTGTGTGCAATTTTTGAGATTGGGCATTTGTACTTGTTTAGTTTTACCTAATTGTCTTTCATTAACAATTTACTGTTTGTGAGTAATGTGTGCTTAACAAACTAAGGAAATTAATTATCTGTGAAAGACTTTGTATATTAAACAAATGCTCCAAATCTTGGCTGTAGTTTCTCTGCTCTCTGTCTAGTGGTCTAATGTACTGGGACTCCTAGGGTTGTATTTCAGCTTTCCAAACCCTTGAATTCTTAGTTTAAGATCTAATAATGATCTAAGGTTTTAACTAGAATGTCAACATACTTATGTCAAATCTATAGTGACCAATGTTGTGTTATTACTGGAAATTTTGGAGGCTCCACGTAGGACATTACATTATTGGGGAAATTGGGGACCCCTTTCAGGGTTCTTATTCCTGTCAATAAAATAATTTGAGATCAGACTCAGAAAGAAGCTCCAGGTCAATTTTATTAGCCTATAATCAACAACATGGCAGGCAAGCTGGACATCACAGCAGCTGCCGGAAGGGAGAATGAGGAAGTTGGAGAGGCGTTTAGCAATGGGTGTCAGCCACAACTGGACTCTTGAGCCAGCACTGTTCACCTTGTGCCTGTTCACCTTCTCTACCCACCCTCCCTTCCACAGCACTGGGATGATGGGCACACGGCAACAGCCTCTTACTTATGATGGGTGCTGGGGAAACTCAGGCGCTCTGTCGCATGTCACTGACCAGGCTATCTTCATTATCCCTATTTTTTTTTCACTTCCTCCTCCTACAAAACTCGGGTTAAAGAGCCACTGAAGATCACTGCTGTTTTCAATAGGTTTTAACTGTGACCCTGGCTGGAGTTTACATATTAGAAACTGCTCCCCTTCCATATGCTGATATTCAGAGCTGAGAGGACGTTAGTGCCACATATAGACCTTCCTATCTTGCCTGCTGCATCCTCCTCCGATAGGTTTCCATCACGATGATGTTGCCCATGATGTGATGCAAACAGAGAAGCCTCAGCAGAACTGCACTGGGCTATTACTTAGACTCTCGGCTAAGTTCCCAGCATTGGGTATTTAGCTATAATGAAAAGCAGATTAATACAATCTCTGAATTTTAAAAGCAATTTAAAGAGAATTCTTAAATAAAAACCAAAAACCTATTTTGAAATTGCAAATACTTATTTGAGAGTGAGTTCAACAGCAAATTCTTACATAGATAATTAACAAAATAAATTTTATTTGTGTGCATGCATATGTGCACTTCCCATGGTGAGCATGTGGACGTTAGAAGAAAACTTGTAGCATCTGTTCTCTTTACCCCACGGATCCTCGGAAACAAACTTCGGCAGTCAGGCTTGGCTGCAAGCTCCTGCTGAGCCATCTCACCAGCCCACACATAAATGACTATGCGCCATAGTCAGTGAGTAGGACGTAAGGGTCTCATGTATTTCAGTGAGGACTGGCAGGCACTGGAGTCATTTCTTCATCTGTGTCACTTGATTCACTTGCTGGTTCCAGTTTCCCATCTGTAGTGTCTCCAATTTCTCCTGTTATTTCTAATTCTCCTAAATCCTTTTCTATATTTAAAATATTTTTCTGTTTCCGCTTCTTAGGAACTGCATCACTAGCACAAAGTTTCCTCATTTTGATGTTTGGTAATTTCTTCAGATCAAAATCCCATTCCCTAGAAAAGAGGAGTGTAGTGCTGAGGGTGACAATGGCACAGCCAGTGTGGTCACAGTGAACTCTGCCCGCTGCATACACAGCCTTTCAACAGCTTTCACATGCACGAGAAAGAAGCATCAACATGAAGGACGGGGGTTGCAACACCCTAACCCTGAAGACTTGCTTGTTATTGCTACAGTCGTATCTATTACCTTACAGAATCCTACACAGTCTAAACTGAAAAGAATGCACAAGAAGACTGTAGGTTCTGTGTAGTTTACTTCCCCTAAATATTCTCCTGTATCAAGCTGCATGGTCTCAAGACCCTCACAAGTTACATTATGTCATGACTAGCAAATCTCTAAAATCACTAAGAGAATGACGTTCTTCTCACACACAGGCACACTGCAGCTGAATCGTTAAGAAAAAACCTCCCATCTTTGTCCCTATTTGTATGACAATTCTAGTTTCAATCATCTCCTTCGAGAAGTCTGAAGACCATGTCAGGAAGTGCTCACCTCACCCCAGAAGAGCTGACATGCTATACTCATCTCCTCACAGTTCTCAGTTTCTTTGGATGAAGTAGGATACGCACTGCTTTAAAAGCAACTAATCCATTTTGTTTTGATTATGCCTAGATTTAAATTTATCCAATTTCAATTCAGAAAAAATCCCAACTCCCCATCATGTTTTAGTAAAAACCAAAATTACTAATAAAAAGCATTTTCTAATACACAGAATCTGTGCTTAAAAAATAAAAATGTGAGTTTCTACAGTTCAGTGGTCTCTATGGTTATACTAGGGTATAATCACTGAATCCTGGACCAATGATGCTCAAGGACAAAACTCCCGCCCTGGCATTGGTTTCTCTTCATCTGTTCCAGTTACTTTATAGTTAAGAAATACAAATTAGCATCACAGGAGAACAGAAGCATCTCTAATATATTATATGGAATTTTTTAAACTGTTCTAGAAAAGAAAAAGGGCATCACCAGCATCAGTCGAGTGAGGGCACACTGGGTACTGCACAGACAGGAACAAGCACTCCAACAGGAGAGAACACTAACAGAACACTCTCTGCTCTTTTTTTTTTAATGTTTACACTCAGAGAAGTGCATGCACCGTGCATTTCACATAATTTTGAAGGAATTCAGATACTCACCGGAAAGTCTGCAGAGTATTAGGGTCTAAAATGTCCGGGATCTCTGAGAAAGAAAATAATTAATATCTATTAGGTATTCTTTCTAAATCTTACAACATGGCAGCTGATGTAAATAAAAAGAAAAACAATTTAAATATAGGTGTAAATGTCTCCGTGTCTACGTATGTGCACATGTCTGCAGAGTCCAGGCGTGGGTTTCCTAAAGCTGGAGTTACAGGCATTTATGAGCCACCTGAAACAGCAGTAAGTACTGCTGAGCCATCTCTCTAGTCCCAAAGCAAAACATCTTCAAAGCACTGCTATAGGTGACACAGAAACTACACTTGGAAAGAACAGAGCTCATTGTTCAGGGATAACATAAGAATTCTGGTACACAGAGAGTATTAGCACAGACTTGTGAAGTCAGTCAGAAAGTGTGGATATTTTTTATTCTGTAGTGCTATGAAAGACAAGTTATTAAGTACTTACCTAATTTTAAATTGGTAAAATCACCAAATTTCAAAGATTATTTAACATGAAAAAAATTATATTACTCAAAACACGAAAAATTTAAAAAGAATTTTAATCGTGAGGACCTCAAAAAACGTTCAATACAATTTAAATTACCCTGAAACCTGCATAGGAACTCATGGAGACTGCCTTTGAGTCTCAGACAGGGACCTTTATAGCAGTAATGGAATTTTTAAAAACGGGACTTTTAAATTTGGATTGAATATATATTTAAAGTGATGTGTTTAGGTGTCAAGCTGGCAAAGAGAGGAATTGTGGTCCTTAGTCTCAACTGCCAACTTGATGGGCTCTAGCATCACCTGGGAGACAGGCATGGGAATGCTCTGGGGAATTATTTTGATCAGGTTAATTGAGATATGAAGACTCGTCCTACATATTGGTGGCACCTAGGCTGGGTCACACTGTTGTGTCATCCTGTATCCTCCAAGTTCTTCCCCGCAATAAAAAGAGAGAGAACTTAGCACCAGCATCCACTGTGGATACAATGTGACACAGCTCCTACTGTCCTGATGTCACCACTACCAGGCTTAAGCTTTGAGCCACACAAGCCCCTCTTCGCTTATGGAGCTTTTGCCAGGGTACGTGATCATAGTGATAGGAACAGACAGGCATATCATCTTATCTTCACAGAAGGCACTGTGAATGAGCATCTCAGGCACAGCAGAGGCAGTCTGCCTGTAGTAGATACAGTGTCAGGTGTTTCTGAGTTAATTCTCAACTTTTTAAACCAGGTAAACATATCCTCTATCTTATTTAAATGTTTTGAGACAGGAGCTTTCTATATAGCCAGGGTGCCTGGAACTATGCAGACTAAGCTGGCCAGGAACTCAAAGAGATCTATCTGCCTCTCCCTTCAAGGGCTAGGATGAAGGCTGTGTGCCACCATGTCTGGCTTCTATTTTATTTTTAAATTGAGGGGTCCTCTTTATTATCTGGTCAACTCCAGGGATCAAATGTGGATGTGTCTAGTTCCAAAACTGTGCTTTCCTTTTTTTAGATTAAAAAACACAGTGAAGAGGAAGTACAGACACTTCTAGTATTATCCAGAGAAATTCTTTTGGCATCCCTTATGTTCAAGCTCTTTATATTAGAACTTGAATTTTAATTTTACTATTATATATTTTACCAACTATTTTAATTAAGAAAGTACACATTAAAGCCTACAGGGACCAGGCAAGCAACATGAATGAAGACAGTGACTAACAAACTTTCAAATTCCTCCCAGTTCTGCAAGGGATAGCTGCTACTGCACTACAGCGCTCTGTTGCCAGGTCCTCTGGCTTTTTAAGCCACACAGCTGCATTTTTCAGTGGAAATCATTATTTTTAAAAAGTAGTGATGGTAAGATAATCAAGTATTATCTGCAGGCTGTGTGTGCTTTCAATAGTCACCTGTCCTGCTCAGTCACCTTCCGTGTTGTCACTTAGTAATATGTTGTCCTTACTCTGAGAACTGTGGTCTGGAGAGCAAGAGTTACAACAGTGGGAAGAAGGGACTCAGATGTGTCTGGAGATGGACAAGCAACAGCTCCGTAGGGAAGGCAAGCTGGGTGTGTGCTAGGAAGTGATTCGGTCACAGGAGACGGCTCTCAACTGTCACAGGAAATGAAACTAATAGTTGTCTATACATGAAAAAAAGGAAACTAAAAGATCAAGATAAATCAATAAAACAAGACCTTGAAATTCATTATAAATCAGATACTGTTTTGAAAAGGCAAAGTAAATCTGAGCATACACACCAAAGCCGTAGCCTTCGTACTGCTGCCGCTCCCTCTCCATAGTCTGCTTGATGGCGGCCTCCCGGGAATGGTGCCGCCTTCCCTGCCTGTCTTTGATGCTGTTGTGTAACTCAATCTGCTCCAGCTCACTGCTAAACCGATCCAAGTACCTGAAAAACACAAACAGGATCTGACTTACAATGCCTATATATGGGGCTTGTACTCATTCATTTAAAATGTAGTGCTCAGGTGCCCCTGTCCTTTGAGTAGTGACATCTGCAAATCCCTCATTCCCTTAGCCTTCTCAATCGCTTTCCTAAATAATCCAAGCATTTAACTTCAGTGAACAAAGCCCCAGCATGAGGGCTGCTGAACTGAGGCCCTCACACTGAACCACTTACTCCATTGTCTTTAGACTACAGCATCTCACCACCTCACCCCTGACAGACATCCCCATGTGCCCTTCCTCCTGCCCCACCCACGCTCTCCATCCCTTGAGCTTCCACTCAGGACACAGTAAGCCAGTCTAGGTGAGGTTCCCAGGCTCCTCTCCCACTCTACCAAGGCTCTACCTCCTGACATTGCTGCATTCCAGCCCTGTATCAAGTTCCTATTAGCCAAACAGAGGACAATGGTCCCATCGGCCTCCTACCAAGTCCTCCAGCAATGTCACCCCTTTGTCAGGCTATGGTTTGAAAGCATGGTGATCATATGTGCTTCCTAGAAAGTCCCCCAAAGCTCACCATGTCCTTTGCTGGTCGCCAAGCGCTGCTCATAAACCACTGTCCCTTGCTGCACCAGCTACACTAGCCTCTGAGCTTGCGATTCCAGTCACATAAAGTGTCTGCTGGGGTTGTTCAGCTCTCAGCTCCTCTCTCACCTCTGGGCCTTTAGATACCATTCTATCAGTCGGAAGACTATTTCAAGCTACCTTACCTCAATGTGCTGACACCCGGAGGGGCCAGTACAGACAACCCTTCTCCAGGAAGCCTTCCCAAACCCCAGGAAAATAAAACAGGGCCAAGCTGGGATACAAACTTAAGTCTTTTTGTTAAGAAGAGAAGAAAAGAAAGGAAGGGAAAGAAAGGAAAGGAAAGGAAAGGAAAGGAAAGGAAAGGAAAGGAAAGGA